ACAAATGTAAAAACCTTCCCTAAAAGCCGAGACTGTAAATTCCAAAAAGGCAAGTTCCACCACCCCCCCAAAAAAAAAGCTAAAGAGGATAGAGAGAAACTGTTAACTGATGATATATGGAGGGGATAATAATCAATGTAATGAAACAAGCTATATGAATGGTTGAATGTGAAGCTGATGATGTGATGTGCCCTGTAAACTTTCACTCAATCCAAAATAAAAACATTTAATAAAAATAAATAAATAAGAAATCAAATGATGTATTGCATTAGGCAAATCTGCACAAGAACTTTTTAAAGTGGTGAAGAGCAAAGATGTCAGCTTGAGGACTAAGGTGTACCTGTCCTAAACCATGGTATTTTCAATAACCTCATATGCATGCAAAAGCTGTGCAATAAATAAGGAAGACCTTAGAATTGATGCTTTTGAGTTACGGTGTTGGAAGAGAATATTGAAAGTGCCATGGGCTGCCAAAAGAACCAATAGCTCCATTCTGGAAGAAGTGCAGCCAGAGTACTCCTTGGAGGCAAAGATGACCAAACTTCGTCTCTCATATTTCGAACATATTGTCAAGAGGGACCAGTCGCTGAGGAAGCATATCATGTTTGGTAAGGTGAAGGGTCAGAGACAAAAAGGAAGACCCCCAACAAGATGGAGTGGCCAAGTGGCAGCATCGATGGACTCAAGCATGGCAACAGTAGTGAGGTTGGTCCAGGATTGGGCAGTGTTTCGTTCTGCTGTGCATAAGGTTGCTAAGGGTCAGTACTGACTCAATGGCACCTAACAACAACAACAATAGCTGGGATGGTGGGGTCTCTTTCCACATATCTCTCTAGAAGGCGAGCCCAGTTTTGCTTATGTAGTGATGGTTTCCAGCAGCAAAATAAGGCCAAGTTCCAATGTTCAAATAACTTTCAAGCCGTATTTGCCACTGCTCCATTGGATAAGGATGGTGATAGAAATAGATTTTGCCTCTTGATGGAAGGATCTCAAATCATTTATGGCCATATTTTGCAATATATCACATGTGAGCTAACAGTCCCTAATAAGGACTGTAAGCATTAGTTCATTCAACAAATCATTACACAGAAGAGCACAAAAGACCAGACAACTAAGTTGAGCAGTTGTCCAAATTCTAACCAGTTATTAGTGTTCAGCACCCAGGTTCTGCCCTCAATTTCTGCTGGTTTAATCAGGACCTTCTCATGATTCCAGGTTGTAGGATGCGCCCATGGACAGCCTGGTCGGAATGCACCAAACTGTGTGGCGGCGGGATTCAGGAACGCTACATGACTGTAAAGAAGAGGTTCAAAAGCTCCCAGTTTACCAGCTGCAAAGACAAGAAGGAGATCAGAGCATGCAATGTTCACCCTTGTTAGCAAGGGTTTGGGCTCTCCAGAGCTGCACTCTAGATTCCAGAGTCACCAATGGCTGGATTGTGTTTGCTTGTTTGTTTAAGGCAATTTAAATTGTGTACACTAGTTTTCATTTCTGCAGTATGGTTCACCCAATAGTCTTGTGGATGCAAGAAGCATCCTTTCTGAATACTTCTTGGTGGATACAGAGTGAGTGGCACTCCCTTACCCTCAAGCTGGCCCTCAGAAGTGAGTGGTGTCAGCCACTTTGTACTAAACTGAAATGCGTCCTTCTGGAATAGCCACCTGGACAGGCAGAACAGAGATGTTGGCCTCCTCCACATGGAGAGAGAATTGTGTCTAGAAGTGACTGTGCTTTGACCCTAGGGTGCAGCAGACAGGAAAACATTGGCCACCAGTCAACTAGAGCAGAGTCCCTTCATCCTTACCTTTGGCCTGCCAACTCTTCCAGCAAACATTTGCTGCTCATCTCCTTTCCTTTGGTGAGATTTTAGGTTGCTTATGCAGTTTCCTCAGTCATCACTGATTCTTGAGAAAAACAGAGCTGGTAGACTTGAAGGGGAGCTCTGGTGTTGGGTGGCTTGTCTTCTGATAGAAAATTCTAAATATGTTTATCTCACCTCCTAATATTGGTACCTCATAACGCAAAGGGAGATGGGACACAATGGTTGAATATTTAAGGATAAAATAACTTGTTTCTTAACACCTGAGGTAAAAGACACCAAGTGCAGAAAGTACTTTGCCCTTACCTTTTTTTTCCTGCTAATTTCTCCTAGGAAGCCACACTTGTAAATCCTGTGGTACTAAATCCTTACCGGAACCAGGGCCAACACAGTGAAATTGGTTTCTCTAGGAGTACCAACCCTAATAGTTTATTTTTTAAATCTGCTTACACACATCTACTTTGAAGTTTTCAAACCAGTTTCTAGTAAAAGTGTTTTTAGTGTATGTGAACATTTTACTACATCTGTCCATACCCCCAAGCCTTTTTGTCAACAAAAATGCATCTCTGTGCTGTATCTTTTAATCAGAAAAACTTATATATAGAAAGGGAAAAAAGCACTTGAGAGATTAAGAAAGAAAATGTAAGGAGAAAAGGGAACATAAAGGAATCCAGCTGAATAAGGGGAATTTGTGGGAAGTCTAACCTACCTTTTGTCTGCCTCTCCCCACCAACACTCTGGTCCTCAGACATATCTAGAGGGAAGGCTATGGATTTTCCATTCCCTCTCAGGCATAAAACGCACCAAATTCAGGGAGCCTAACTACCAAGGACGAGTATAAAAGGACATTTTTCTGAGTTGAGTCCAGCAGCAGTTTCTACTTATCCATCTACTGTTAAAATTATATGTTTCATTTTTTATGTAGGCCTTCTTTTTGACTGCATATCCAAATGTGTACTGTGGATGAGATGCATATCAGCTTTGAATACACTACTTTAAGAATGTGCATCAAACACATCAAGACATTTCCAAATGCAACATACATATATACTGCAGCCCTGAATAGGTAACATGCCAACACAAGACTGTTCAATAAAAAATATATTGTGTCTATTTTTCATGTTTCAGATGTTTTGCAATTGTTATCCACCTCAACCCTTTTCAGCTTTTGCTTCCTCTCTCAAGTGATATTTCTGCATCTCTGAGCTTCTTTCCTATAGCTTGGGCTTGTTCCCAATATTATCTTTTCATTCCTAATTGAATTGTTTTCCCCCAAAAGAGTCATAGTAGAAATATCATTTGATATTCTACTTGAGCAAAACAAAAGTTCTGCTAGAGCTTCTGTCTACATTTGTAACGTGGCTCTCAGCTATCTAGATACATATTTATTCTTAATTCATGAAAATCAAAGTTCCCTTCGACAGTGATTTCTAAGTAACTCTAAGGAAAAGCCACTCTAGTGTCTGATGTTCCTATTGGGCCCTTAGTGAGTACATTTAAAATCTAATTACGGACACTGGAAAACCAGGTATAGAATGACTGAAATTGGGTTACCCTTTTCAAGACATGATTCTTGCATCATGAAGTGTCATCTTTTGTTTGCAATGGGGAATTTACAAGAAGTATCAAATCTCTTTCTTACCAAAGTCTTATGCTAGGTGATCTATAGTTTTTCTGCCTAACCAATCATTTTGGAAATACAGACTTTTTACTACAAAAATGGTTATAAGGCACCTGTAAAAACTGCCATGTAAAGAAGAGGTCTAAGGGTTGTAGATATTTTTATCAACACCAAACCAGTTGTAATCCAGTTCACATCCACATTTTAAGATGACAATAAGAAGGTAAGAGAACTATTGCCCAACCAGACATTGGGTCACTTACCTGTCACTTTGCCAATGCATTATTTGACGGAAATCTGTTGTAACCAATGAAATAAAACCTGGGCTTCTTTAGACCCAGAATTGAAAAAGTTAAAAAGATTTTGTGCTGTTTTTAATTTGAATGTTGTGTATTAAACATGTTTTAGGCATACTCAGAGTCTGTGTACTTCTTCCAGGAAGTAAGGGTACATTATAGATTCTCATATGACTGTAATTTTCTAGAAACTTAGTTCACATCAAATCTGGAAAATGTCAATACACAAAAACTCTCAAGATCACATTATCTCTGTGGCCTACCAAAGAGCCCACGTAGGTGAAGAGAAAGGGAAGAAAAGTAAGGAGGAGAGGCAAAAAGCAAAAGAGGGAAAGAGAACAAAGTAGGGAAGAAGAGAAATGGGGGAACAAAGCAAGGCGGGAGGCAGGGAGGAGAGAAGGACCTATGGACTCAGAAACCCTACCGAACTGCAGAAAGGTCTTTCCAGATCATTCAATAACGAAGTCTGAACTGGAGTAAAAGTACCCAGCTTTGGAAGTTCAGTTTCATGGAGCTGTTTGTGGCAAAGGAGTCAGATAGTAAGGTATATACCAGTTACTAAGCTTCCTAAAACCACTGCCTTCAAGTTAATTCCTACTCACAGAAACTGCCACAAGTTTCTCCAGCGGGGAGTTTGAACTACAGGACTTTTGCTCAGCAGCCAAGCACTCTAACTACAGCACCACCAGGCTCCTAAACTCTCCGGGGGTGGGGAGTGGGGAGGGGGTTACATGCCATGGAGTCAGTTCTAACTCAGTGCAACCCTGTGCAGGGTTTTCGAGGCTGTAAATTTTTACAGGAGCAGAAAGTCTCATCTGTCTCCCACAGACTGGGCTGGTAGTTTCAAAATGCTGACCTTGTGGTTAGCAGCCCGACTCATAACCCACTATGCTACCAGAGTTAAATATTTATACCCTTAAAAAAAAGAAAAGGGACACCATTTTCTAAACAAGACTAACCATAGTTTCAATCTTAACTACAATGCAGAACCAGAGAAGACATAAGCATCCCACCACTTTGTTGTTAATGGTATTAATTTTTATTATAAAAAATATTCATTTTGTTCCTCATATTGCCCTAAGTGGGTAGACGGAATGAAAATAAATTAATCCCTTCTGAAAATGAGTGAGATGCAGTAATAAACTAGAAAATAGAAACTGAGTGCTAATTAGCATGAAGATAGTTCTTCAATACAAACCCTTTGAAATCTGAAAGCAAAATATCAGTACTAAAATGTCAGATTTAAATAATTGCATCCATAATTTAAAATATTTGATTCAAAGGCTATTTTATACACTCTGTAAATCAGAGAGATGGTTATAAGCTGAGTGATGGTTAGTCACAAGGAACCTGGGTTCACATGAACACTGAATAGGCAGTTATTTTTACCTTTCCTGGCCTCAGACTTAGATGTAAACTTTATAACATGGAAGTACTTCTCCACCTCCACAATTTAGCAAATTCCCATCTCAAGAGAAAGTCCAGATGGTTTTCCTGCACAATCAACATGTCAGGTAATATAAGTAAAACAGTAAACATGAACAAAGTGATTCTGCCATCACAGAGCTTATGATGCTAAGGTGGGAGTCAGTCTGGAGAAACAAAACAATCACAGGTAGATGTCATAAAGTACACACACAAGGCAGTGCAAGGCTATAATGGGTGGTCAAAGGGCTCTCTGAGGAGGTGACATTTAAGCACACCCCTAAAGGTTGAAATGGCTACTTGGAATAGTTGAGTGAAGTAACTGATTTGGAAACTACTTGGTGTCTTCTAGGGGTATAAGAAAGCAAATCAGCTAGCATGTATTAGACATAGGAAGACAAAAGGTCCTGTAAGGAGTTTTCCTTGTAAGGAGAGGTAAAGGGATTTGTATATCATTCTAAGTACATTGAACTAAGACCATTTAGCCAATGCCTATTTCAAGGCAAGTCCAGGTTTTCAGTGGCAGTGTAACAGGCAATTTCTAATCCAAAAAAAGAAAAAAATAATAATAGCTTAGTGGGAGCCCAATAGAAAAAGATGATTCCAAGACCACCATCATAACCTGTGTGTAAGATAGGAGGGGCTTGGACAAAAGTGGCTATGGATAGATTCCACGATTCAGTAACCTCTCAGCTGCTCGCCCTGACTTAAACCTCTACACTCCTCTGCCAAATCAGATCTACAGCCATTTCCGGACATACACAGAAAGGCCATCCGACTTAAAGCCCCCCACAACCTGATCCCAGCCTACTTGAATCATGTTTTCCCATGGCACACAGAATCAGTTAGACTAAAGCTTCCAATTCTAGAACACACCATGTTTTCTACCAACTCTGCATTTTCCTAGTGTTTCTACTACCTCACTCTACCCCCACCCCCCATCGCAAACCCTACCAAACCATCAAGTTCTAGTTAAGACGTTCCCTCAGAAGCCCCAAACTGAAAGAATCATTAGCATAATATAATATTGTAAAATCATGAGGAGAAAATTCCTAAGAAAGAAATTATTTTCCATTCAGGGAAATTCCTATTTAGAAGAGCTGCCACATTTACTAAGGTAAGTAAAAAGGATTGCTTACTAAGGTTCCAGTTCATAAATGCACAGGCTTATTCCAAACAACAACAAAAAACGTGCTTAAACCTGTCTCTGCAATCAGT